TCCTTCCAGGCCAGCAGGAACATGTGTTTTTGACTTCATGAAGGGTGCAGTCCTTTTACCTTTAATAGCTCACCTGATTAGGCCAGGTGCGGTGGCGCACGCCTGTAATCCCAGTACTTTGGGACACCAAGGCAGGAGGATCCCCTGAGATCAGCAGTTCAAGACCAGCCTGGCCAACATAGTGAAACCCCATCTTTACCAAAAAAATAAAAAAATTAGCCAGGCATGGTAGTATGCTCCTGTAGTTCCAGCTGAGGTGGGAGAATCGCTTGAACCCAGGAGGTGAAGGTTGTCGTGAACCGAGATCGCACCACTGCACTCCAGCCTGGACGACAGAATGAGACCCTGGCTCAAAAAAAGAAAAAAATAAAAACAAAACCACTCACTCACCTGATTAGGCCCAGCCCAGCTGGATCATCTCCCATTTTGTTAACTCAAAGATAACTGATTATAAACCTAATCATGATAGTGATATTACAACATACTTATAGGTTCTGCCTCTTTTCAAGAGGAGATTATACAGACTGTGTGTACCAGGGGGTGAAGACCTAGGGAACCATTTTGGAATTCTGCCTCCCACAGCACCTTTCCCACAACTGCCTCCAGGGTGGGACAGAAATGATGGCCCGAACAGGCTGACTCATTCCTCTCCCTGAATCCTCCAGGGGCCTTGTCTTTAGGGGATCCACTTTTCTCCTCACCATCTGGCTGTTTTCTTGAGAGCCTGAATTTTGCGGTAAACCTTCATCATATGAAAAATATTGAGGCTTTAAAGCCTTGAGACCTGTCTCTTGGGGAATTTCTCTTACTTGACTCTTCTTTAAAAAGCTGTGTGTGTGTGTAACTGTAGCACATGAAGATAATTACAAAAAGCCAAACTGTTGGAAAAAGGACACAGTGAGAACTCTCTGCCTGACTCCAGCCTTCTGTCCTGTGTCAGCCATGTTCTCCTCAGAATTAACCAACATTATCCATTCTATCTCCTTGGATAGCTCACATATTTATGTTTTTCCACAAATGCTAGCATTTGTGTTCTGCACTCTGTGTTTTCTTTAGTAGTGCATCCTTTACACATAGATTTAAATTATTCGTTTTGTTTATTTATTCTATTTTCTTTTTTTTTTTTCAGACAGAGCCTCGCTCTGTTGCCCAGGCTGGAGTGCAGTGGCATGATCTCTGCTCACTGCAACCTCCACCTCCCATGTTCAAGCAATTCTTATGTCTCAGCTTTCCGAGTAGCTGGGACTACAGGCACATGCCACCACTTGTGGCTGATTTTTGCATTTTAGTAGAGACAGGGTTTCACCACGTTGGCCCGACTGGCCTGAAACTCCTGGCCTCAAGTGGTCTGCCTGCCTCGGCCTCCCAAAGTGCTGGGATTACAGGCGTGAGCCACCGGGCTCGGCTTTAACTTGTTCATTTTAATTGTGGTTACTTGATTTCAAGAACAGGGAAGAGGAAGAGATTTGGGCTGCTGCCTGTCCCTCATTTAGGAACTAGTGGAAAACGATTTAGGTCAGCTATCTCAGGTGATTCTAAATGTTTTCACATGTTAGCAGAGAGCATCCACCATGAGCCGGTGAGACACACTTGAGCTGAACTGCACAGAATTTGAACGTCAGCGCTAGACGGGAGAGTGAGACAAGCGTGGGTCTCAGGTGCTTAGAACGCCTTGGACAGAAAGCAAGGTCATATAATTCATTCAGCAGCAAGTAACACAAACATGCACCTCTTTTTTTTTTTTTATTTTTTTCACATGGTGTGATTGTATTGCCACAAATTAGCTGCTTTTATTTTTTATTTTAAATAACATACAGTAGGCGTTTATGTACATCATCTTAATTATGGGGTAGCAAAAATATCTAAAACTCTTAAGATTCTTGCCACGGAAAAACTTTGTATTTCCAAACAACCAAGTAACTTAATTAGAAATTATATTGACCCATGTCATGGGGATGAGGGACGATGATAAGAGGAAGTGATGGCATGCCATCAGTTGAATAGGAGAGCCAAGATACATCTTTACTTTTTTTTTAAACATTAATACAATTTAGAAATTTCAAATTGTTCAAAGCTGGATAGAAATATAATGGATTATGGGCATTTTATATTATTTTCAAATTAAATGATGGGTCATTGGTAATTAAAACAGTAAATCCCTCCTTTCTGTATCAATAACACATGCCTACTGTTTTCTTCTATTTTGAATACAATCCTAGCCCAACTTTTAGGATAGTCATTTCCCTGAAGGGTTTCTTGTAATTTTTTCCTGAAAGCATTTATGTTACTTCCTATAACCCCAACACCACTCAGGGCATTTGGTTGTAGCAAGTGAGGTTAACCAAGTTTAAAATCCTGTTGAATTCACAGGAGAGTTTAACTGCATCTGTCTAAATTAAAAGATGTTGGCAGCCTATGAGCAGTTCTGTGTTGAAGACAAAGTTTCACACTTTAAGGTTATGTCAGAATCAGATAATGAATTTATCAAAATGACCCAATCACATTGAAACAAAAATATTTTTGTTTTTTGATTTTTCTTCTCAAAAAGAAAAACTGCAACAAGAGAGCCTCAAAGGTGATTTCCAGCTGCTATGTTCTCATCAGCATATTTGTAATGGTGGCACATACTGGAAGCCTTACATTTCCTCAGTCTGATGTAACTTTGGCTGAAGTACTTTCAGACTTTAGTAATTTGCTTGTTTTAAGATAAGTAATAGCCTGAGATGAGGACATTTGTATAAACCCCTTCCTGAAACGTCTAGTACCTTTCATTGCATAATTAAAATTCCTACTGTGTTTCTTTAACAGTAAAGACATTTTCATTATCAAAGAATGATGTTCATGTTTTTCTAGAAGAGCTATCATTGCTCTATTTGTTTAAACTTCGATCTTGAATAAAAATAAAACAAGTAAAACCTATAGTAAAACTGTAAAATGATCTCTTCATTAAAAAATAATCATTTTTAATGGTTTTATACAAACAGAAGCAATAATAAAGCCCATATTACAAATTACTTTGCCTAATTTAGATATGAGTGACTTAAAATTGCTTCTTTTGCAAATGTCCCCTGGTGATTTTCAGAAAACTTAATAAATTGAAAGTACAGCAATAAATAGTCACATTTCTTTGGGGCTCTGGCTTTATTCAAGCTTTTAGAAATTTTCTGGGCCTTTTGTCAGTTTTCAAATTAGAGATTGGAAACTCCAATTCTGATAATACTGTTCTACTGTATGAGTTCACTGACATAATCAGATAGTATGTCTTATCTTCCACCTGCTCTCATGTTCACCAGCTGAGAGAAGGTACCCTGACCGTCTCTTCCAGAGAAGAAATAATAAATGTTGATGGTTAACAAAATTGCAGCCCTTACGGGAATCTGCCTCACTTGTAAATGCACCCTTCTTTCTCCACAGTCACTGTACTTAATTATACCTAGCTCCTGACACAGTTCAAAACTTAACCGCACCCATAGAACCTCTTCATCAGGCAGACATCAATGTCATTTTATTGCCAGTGAAACAGATCCACAAACAAGCAACTCTCCTGAACTCAAGGACAGAACAGACAAGGGGCTTCCACTCATTTCCATCATCAGAATTTGGTTTCCCATGCGAAGAAGTAGGCCACTATGATCTCAGCCAGGTCAAGTTTTGTCCTCCTTCCTCTATCTATCCTCAGTCTTCTTTCTCCTTCTACAGCAAGGGCCCCCAACCTCTGTGCCATGGACCAGCAGTGGTCCATGGACTGTTAGGAACCCAGTGGCAAAGCAGGAGGTGAGCTCTGGGCCAGCAAGCCAAGCTTCATCTGTATTTACAGCTGTTAACCATCACCTGTGTTACTGCCTGAGCTCTGTTTCTTGTCAGATCACTGGGGCGTTAGATTCTTATAGGAGCAGGAACCCTGCACATGGGAGGGATCTAGGTTGCAGGCTTCTTATGAGAATCTAATGCCTGATGATCTGTCACTGTCTCCCATCACCCCCAAATGTGTGCGCCTACTTGCATGAAAACAAGCTCAGGATTTCCACTGATTCTACATTATGGTGAGTTGTATAATTATCTCATTATATATTGCAATGCAATAATAATAGAAATAAAGTGCACAATAAATGAAATGGGCTTGAATCATCCTGAAATGATCTCCCGTGGTCCCCACCCCAGTCTGTGGAAAAAGTCTTCCGTGACACCAGTTCCCAAAAGGGACAGCTGGTCTCTACAGTGTCTGTCCTCTCTCTCTCTTTTTTAAACAGAGTCTCCCTCTGTTGCCCAGACTGGAGTGCAGTGGTGCCATCTTGGGCTCACTGCAACAGCGCCATCTCAGGCTCACTGCAACCTCTGCCTCCCCAATTCAAGCCATTCTCCTGCCTCAGCCTCCCAAGTAGTTGGGATTACAGGCACCCACCACCAAGCCTGGCTAATTTTTGTATTTTTAGTGGAGATGGAGTTTCATCATGTTGGCCAGACTGGTCTCGAACTCCTGACCTCGTGCTGGAATTACAGGTGTGAGCCACCGAGCCCGGGAATATCCTCTGTTGACACCTACTCCCCTTAGATTCTTCACACTTAGGTCATTCCAAACCTTTTCACTGAGGCAGAAAACCTTATTCTACGCTACAAAGGACTCCTGAGAGGTGTTTCCCATTTCATCATGTACCAGCTTTTACTTGTGGACTCTGGATGTCCGTTCTGGTGGAAGCGGCAGGAGAGAATGCGACTGGACTGCTCTGCTGGGTGTAAGGCGAGGGCAACCTGGAGCAAGTTCAAATCCCGCCTCTGCGGGAGGCAGAGGTTGCAGTGAGCCGAGCACTCCAGCATGGGCGACAGAGTGAGACTCGTCTCAAAAAAAAAAAGAAAAAAAAAAAATTCCACTTCTCGCCACACTCCACCATTCTCTGAGCCTCAGTTTACTCATGTGTAAGGGGGGCTGCGATGATTAGAGGAGCTCGTCCATGCCACGCACTGGCTTGCTTGGTATCCTTGGAGTCACCGAAAGATTAGTTCAACTCCCCGCCTGCCCCGCCCTGGGGCAACATTCATTTTGGGGAAAAGTCCCCCTTAATGCTGAAATATCCAGTTCCCTTCTTTTCTCTAGCTCGCCAATTGGGCTCTCCGGAGAGGCCACTCGTTTGGGAAGGCGCGGTCTGGGTCGGTGCACCGCGCACCAAACCCTGCCAGAGAACTCAGAGAGGCGGCCAGGGAGCTGGGTGCTTCGGGAGAAAGGCGCCAGCCGCCGGGTCACCTCCCGAGGAAGGAAGGGGCGGGAGCGCCAGTGGGGAGGGCGGAGCCTGAAAACCTCCGCGCCTTCGCTGCGGGCTTTACAAAGGCCCCGGGCGCGCGAAAGGACGTGCTCTGCCAGCCAGTGGGAGGGGAGGCCGCGCGCGCAGGAGGATCGGCGGCTCGCGGTCCGTGGTCCGTGGTCCCTGGCTCGGTTCCCCGCATCCCGGGGCTCACACCTGTCCGCGCGGAGGAGCAGCGGCCGGGCGCCCTCCCCCCAGCCTGCGCCAGTCTCCTCGATTCCCCTCGCTCTGAGCCAGGCGAGCCGAACAACTCAGGAGAGTTCACGCACTCCCCAGCCCCAGGTACTTGCGGGGCGGCGGGCTAGGGGTGAGGTGGGGACTGGCCCTTTTCCGTTTATCCCGCAGAGACAGCAGCTTTGTCCAGGAGATTTTTGGGGTTTCGGATCGGAAGTCATCCGCCGCTCCGGCTCAGCTGGCACACGCTCACTATATGCTAAGGAAAGCCTGCAAAAATTATAGACGGCACCTCCCTGTTTTATAAACTATGAGAATATTTACATAAATGAAGGAACATTGGAGATGGGGGTGTTTTTTCTCTGTACTTTAATGTTCTTTGCAACGTTTTTCTAATCAGAAAACAAAAACGAATGCCATTTATGCAGTGTGGCTCCAGAGCAGTTGTGCGCGACGCCCCCCTTGCCAACTGCCACGGCCCCACGCTGTCGGCTCCACGCTATCGGAGACCTTTCTGAGGGGCCCTGGGCTCCCTGGAGTGCCGAGGTCCTTGGTCCTAGACCTGAGTTCTTGTTTCAGTCTGGTTCATGAGATAAATATAATAATCCGTTGTTTTCTGGGACTTTCCCCAGATTTCAGATTGAAAGGTGGAATTTCCCAAATCCTCTGAAGCCAAAATCCACAGACTGAGCCTCACTCCGGATGTCCGCAGCCACCGGAAAGTGGGACTGTACCCCGGGTCAGGCCAATTAAGTAGAGTGGGAGAAAGAAAATATTATGTCTGAAAGACACCGAGCTTTCTTAAGGGTTTCCTCCTGCTGTGTTTGGTTTTCACATTTTTTTTTTTTTTTTTTGATTCTTTGTTTTTGCAAGCAACACCTGTGGCTTTAGTATTAATTCTGCCAAACAGCTGTGCCAGAGTTCACAAATATCTTCAGAGCCACACTTCAGGGTGATCCTGTTGAGCAGGGTTAGACAGGAGGATTACTTGGTCCTTTGCTCTGCTTCCAAGTTTCTGTTCCCCTCCTGTGTGCTCAGTGTTCGTTGTTCATTAGGGAGAAAAGCCTTGAAACTTCCTACTTGCAAACACCCAAAGACATACTCTTTCTTGAGAATATATTCAGGGGGAACTGGGGAGGAGAGGGGGCTGGGGGGAAATGAAAGTAAAAATTTTCAGCATCCAGAGCAGACCCCATTAGCATAGTCAACCCTGTTTTAAAAAACAGACTTCTTAAAGCCTGAGAAATCTTGTTGGCATGCATGACCACCCAGGGGCGCCAAGCTTTCTGTTAAACCGCTTAGACACCTGGGTCCTTTTAGCGAAAATATTTCTATATATCTTTTTGTTTATGACATTTTAAGGCCGAACACCCTTCGGCAAGGTGAGGGTAGTACATCTCTTCACTGACTTTGCAGGACCTTGTGTGGGGGTGTGTGTGTGTGTGGGTATGTGTGTGTACGTGTGTGTGTGTTGCAGGGAGGGTAGTAGAGGTGGAGGTACTGTTTTTGCACATAACACCTCTACATGTATCCATTCTTCTTTCCCCAAAGAGGAGTCAGAAGCCTTGCCCTCGATCTAACCCTTCTCTTCCCAACTCTAAGCCTCCCAGGTAAGTGTATATATACATCCTGTTGTCCAGCACAGAAGAGCTGGACACTCAAGAATGCAGCATCCATGCCTTCCATATTCAGCTTTCAGAGACAGAGTTTCCAATGGCAGTGCTTATTTTTATTTCTATATTTATTGTATTTCCTTTGTTAACACAGATATTACTGTTTGTCAGATATTAATCAGTGTTTTACAACTTTTCCATGTCAGATATCACAGTTTACCCCTTTAATGATACTTTGCTAGTCTCCAACCACTGTCAATTCCATAAACATCAGAGGGTTGGTGATGTTGTAAAGAAAATATTTGTTAAGTGTTTGAATAGATATTGAAGTGCACATGGTATAAAATCCCAGAGGTATAGAGTGTGCAGTGGAGAGTAAGTCTCCTTCCTATCTCAGGCCCCCAGTTTTTGTCTCCAGAGGTAACCATTGTTATCACTATATAAAATCATTGTTCCCCTGTTTCTTTGATAACATGACTAACAGATTTCAAAATGCTGTTTTGAGCAAATGTGCACCCGTGGTTTTTAAACATCTAACAATTTTAAGTATATTATTTTAGTTGTCAGCTTCTGTCTTTTCCTGTTTTTCTGCTGACCACTCTGAAATGTCAGAGTGTTCAGGCCACTTTGTAGTCAACATGGTCTCTAAACAACCTGCCACAATTACTGATGAGTACAAGGTCCATGTTAATATTATACACCCAGGCTTAAGGATAACTGATATTCACAGTAACCTGGTGCTTCAGAGCCTGCTCCTCCTATGAGGTAGCACTAATGGCTTATTTTCCTTCCCAGTATTAGATTCTTGTTTGGTGCCTTGCTGGTTGTAGCCCACACACCTTTATGTCCCCTTTCTCTACATGTTAACTGCTAAGGTTTGTGAAGTAACTGGTAACCGGGCAGGCAGTGTTTGTAATGGTTAAGAGAGGATGCATTCGAGTTTGAGTTCTGTCTTTGACATTGGATTTGTGATCTGGGCTAGTTTTTAAACCCTCTGAGATTCAGCTCCCTCATCAGTGAAGCAGTGATTCACAGGGTTATTTTGAAGATGAGATGACCTGTTGTCACCAAAAAGCAGGTTAGTGGCCCACTGCATGCAGAGTCCAATTAACAAGAGTGCGGTCTGGTACAAAAAAAAGTGAATTCCTAAGCTAGCTTGGGGAAGGGGGCACAAAACGTCCTGCCTTTATCCACACCCAGAATGTGCTGCTTCACTTTTGGAGCAGAAAGTGGGCACTTTTATAAAGTAGGGTGGGACGTGAGCCAGAGCAGGGGGTCCCCTGCTTCCCTTGTGTTTTACCAGATAGTTGAGTTGGCACCTTCCTGGGCAGAAATATAAGTTATATAAGTGGCCAAGCAGGCACACTCTCACCATGCCCTCCTAGTAGGTGTGAGTTCAGAGGGCACCCCTGGAAGTGAGAGTTCTGTGGGGACATGCTTTGGTCTGCAAATTGCCAACTATCCAGGAGAGATCAAAGTCAAGGTCATCATGGTTAGATATACTTGCCCTGTAGGGAATGTCTGGTCAGGAGAAGAGAAAGGTTACATTTGCATTTCTGAAGGTCTAAGTAGGAAGCAGGGCACAGGGGGAAGGGGAAAAGAGAAAATAATTAAAAAAATTAAACTATGACTTAGAAAAATGGATGTACTTGGTTACAGTGTATCAGGGACTTAGCAGTCTGCCTGGCATATGAAAGGCATGAAATAAGTAATAGCCCTTATTCCTGTCTGTATTAGTTTGTTCTCACACTGCTAATAAAGACATACCTGAGACTGAGTAATTTATACAGGAAAGAGATTTAATGGACTCACAGTTCCGCATGGCTGGGGACGCCTCACAATCATGGCAGAAGGCAAGGAAGAGCAAGTCATGTCTTACATGGATGGCAGCAGGCAAAGAGAGGGCTTGTGCAGGGCAACTCCCCCATATGAAACCATCAGATCTCGTGAGACTTATCACAAGAACAGCATGGGAAAGACCACCCCCATGATTCAATTACCTCCCATCAGGTACCTTCCCCAACATGTGGGAATCGTGGGAGCTATAATTCAAGATGAGATTGGGGTGGGGACACAGCCAAACCATATCATTGTCAGGGTTTGCTGTGGTTTTACACCTTCATAAGATAGGTGAATGCATCCATCAGCTCAGGGTCTGATATGGTGCAGTAACAAATGACCTCAAAAATTCCAGTGGCTTATTGGAAGAAGGGTTGATTTTTTTGCTAATATTACCTGTCCTTTATGTATCTGTCTTTGGCTCTTCCCTCTGGGACCCAGACTGAGCTGCTCCTTGTGGGAACTGCTGATGTTTTGACAAAAGAAAGCGGGAAGGTGGAACTACACAGTGGCTTTTAAGCTTCTGATTAGAAGTAAGTTTCTGCTTCTCTTCCATTCATGTTTCATTGACATGGTTGTTAATGAAGTGGATCATCATTTTAAAGGGGCAGAACTGGTAGGGATAGGCCTGCAAGGATGGGGTGGCAAATATTTGACACTAATGCAGTCTGCCTCAGTGTTTGTTGGAGGGAGTCACAATTGTGAACCCCGAGATTCATCAAATCCAGAGAATTGATCTATACCAAGACACTCACAGCCACTGATGTATAAACCAGAATGCCATTTTTTCTCCCTAACAGTGGATAATATATCTGCCCTGGGGACTGAGTATAAGAACCTATGTGGGGTAAGCTTTTCTTGTGGTGGATTTGCTCAGAAGACTGAATTATAAAGTAATAGCTTATGTACAGCATACAAAAACAAAATTTGGATATTACCAAAAGACTATTTAGATCCAGAATACACCATGGTTTTTAATCCAGTTCTCCTTTTGCAATTCTTATTGCCTGAAGTCCAAGAATGAACTAGATTGATGGCAGCATATTGTAAATAAAGCTGGAGATCACTTACAGATTTCTGACGCTTCTTTTCAGGCTCTTCTTAATAGCAAATGCTTTTCTTGTCGACTGCTAATGCATCATTCCATGACTTATAATTATTCTTTTATGCTGTCTGCTTCCTGAGTAATGAGACTTTATTATCATAATTACAGTGTCTTCAAATCACAGTGTAAGATGGATTAACCAGTTCTACCCATTGTGTGTTAATTCTTGCTGACTTTGGTTTCATAGTAAGTTTTACCACCCCGGCACAGGATTTTCAGGATTTTTCTCAGTTTTTCTGCTTATAGCTGGACATCTGTGGCCTGCTTGAGTAGAGCAATATGATGCAATAATGTTCAAAAATATATTACGAAAATAAAATTGAAGATGCATTTTCAAATCAATAGAAAAGAAATATCGCTTACCTATGTCGTTTGTTGGATAACTGAATAAATTGAGAGTTTGATTTCCAGCAGCAAAACTTTGCAAAACGGAAGGAAAGATTGTATTTTAAAAGTAAATAGCAGGACTGAGAATGGTGGCTCATGCCTGTAATCCTAGCACTTTGAGAGACAGAGGTGGCTGGATTGCCTAAGCTCAGGAGTTCGAGAGCAGCCTGGGCATCATGATGAAACCCCATCTCTACTAAAATATGAAAAATTAGCTGGGAGTGGTGGCGCACGCTTGCAGTCCCACCTACTTGGGAGGTTGAGGCAGGAGAATTACTTGAACCTGGGAGGCAGAGGTTGCAGTGAGCCAAGATCACGCCACTGCACTCCAGTGACAGCAAGACGCTGTCTCTAAAAAAAAAAAAAAAAAAAAAAAAAAAAAAAGAAATGCCAGCAAGGTAGAAAGGGAAGGAAAGTGATTCTGGTTTTTGTTTTTTATATTTCAAACCAGCAGCATAATTTTGATGCAACATCTAATATAGATGGTAAACAAAAAACAATAAAACTACAATCATTCTTACTTAACACTGATGATCTCTAAACCCCAAATCAGTATAAGCAGTGTCTGGTAGCCGCAGCCAACTGAGAGTCATCCAAGGAATGCAGGCGGCACTCGCATCTCTCCTGTGTACCAGTGTAACTTACCGCCGTGCTACAGTTACAGAATTCGTGTGCAGTGTTAAGAAATGAGTAAAGAATATTTGTACGTGTAGACATGGGAAAATTTATCACCCATATGTATTATTAATGAAAAAATCGGTCAGGCGCAGTGCCTCATGCCTGTAATCCCAGCACTTTTTGGAGGGTGAGGTGGGTGAATCGTGAATCGCCTGAGCTCAGGAGTTTGAGAGCAGGCTTGGGCCAACATGGCCGAAACTCCCTCTCTTACTAAAAATACCAAAAATTAGCCGGTGTGGTGGTGCATTTCTGTAATCCCAGCTACCCGGAGAGGCTGAGGCAGGAGAATTGCTTGAACCCGGGAGGTGGAGTTTGCAGTGACTGAGATCATGCCATTGCACTCCAGCCTGGGCGACAGAGACTTGTCTCAAAAAAAAAAAAAAAAAAAAAAAAAATAGAAGAACAAAGAAAGTTCAGAACTAAATATAGCATGTTTCTATTTGTGTAAGAAACTTTTTCTCTGTGGAGAAATGTGCTTGTATGTGCTGTTTGTGTGTGAGAGTGTACACACATAGTTATGCTGGTTGCGTAAAGAAAATTTCTGTAAGGAGGAAAGTAGCCTTTTACAGTGGTTGTACTCTAGGAGAGAAAGACAAGAATTCAGATGGGGAGAAATAACTTGTTTTTAAATCCGTTGTTAGTGTTTGAATTTTAAAATCATGTGCATGTACTTTTAAAAAATTAAATTAGTTTTAAAATGGCTATTCTGTGTTGAAGTAACTTCACAAAACTTTTAGTAGCTATTTCTGCCGTCCCTGTTATACTGCTTTTAAGTACTGTACTAATTATCAAAGACATATGAAGTGAAGTGTAGGTGGAGGGCACCTCGGGCCATCGGCTCTCAAGGGATGTGGTTAACAGCAGTTAGATTGTGCTATTTGTAGTTAATGACAGTTGTGCCATCCAGTCATTGAGTACCACTGGACAAAATAAATAATTCTGATACGTGCAGGCTGTGATAATTAAAACCAACTAATGGAGACTTATATTCTTAAAAGTAATGTCTGAAATTTGAAATTATAGAATAAAATAACCATTTAAAGCATTTACTATTTTTGATCATTTACCTGTTAGAAATCAAAGTGAGGATGTAAAGGATAAATGTTGCAATTATTTGTTTATAACTATTAAGTTTATTTAACCAGGTTTCATAATTCATAATATATTTAATTATAATCCAGTTAATAAACTGTAAGTTTTCTTTATGTATATATCCTCTGAAGGTATTCAAACCAAAGGGATTTTTTATTTCCTGATTTTGTTTTTAAAGTACACCTGTCATATTTTCTCTGGGCTCAAGTGACTCTATTTAGGTGATAGAGGAACTGAGGTTTCTTTATGCTTCCCTCAACTCATTTTATTATCAAAAATCATTCTTTGTTATTGTCTGCATTTTATGTGTGGTCTTGTAGTCAAACTAGAAATGAAAAAGATAGGAAAAGCTAGTGTAGCAATTTTATAGGGCTTGGTATAAGATTTCACGTATCTACTAGTTCACTGAAAGTATTGTCTGTGTATCGTTTTCTTAGTCCAAATAAATTGCCTATCAGTTGATATTCATCAAAACGTTAGAATCAAAGCTCTGAATGCCTCAAGCATAAGCAGAAACTAACATGGTAATTTAATTATTGCAGGTGGGCCTTGTGCACATCATGAGCAATTTTGAAGACGCTGACACAGAAGAGACAGTAACTTGTCTCCAGATGACGGTTTACCATCCTGGCCAGTTGCAATGTGGAATATTTCAGTCAATAAGGTTTTTTAACAGAGAGAAACTCCCTTCCAGCGAAGTAGTGAAATTTGGCCGAAATTCCAACATCTGTCGTTATACTTTTCAGGACAAACAGGTTTCCCGAGTTCAGTTTTCTCTGCAGCTGTTTAAAAAATTCAACAGCTCAGTTCTCTCCTTTGAAATAAAAAATATGAGTAAAAAGACCAATCTGATCGTGGACAGTAGAGAGCTGGGCTACCTAAATAAAATGGACCTGCCGTACAGGTGCATGGTCAGATTCGGAGAGTATCAGTTTCTGCTGGAGAAGGAAGATGGCGAGTCATTGGAATTTTTTGAGACTCAATTTATTTTATCTCCAAGATCACTCTTGGAAGAAAACAACTGGCCACCGCACAGGCCCATACCTGAGTATGGCACTTATTCGCTCTGCTCCTCCCAAAGCAGTTCTCCGACAGAAATGGATGAAAATGAGTCATGAACACAAAGTCTAAGAGGAGAAATATGAAGGATGAAAAGCTCTGTCGATGCTGTATAGACACTACTTATTAAGAGCTTATTAGGGTAGTATATTATAGTCATCTGTTATGCTGTGAAATTTGGAATTCAGTGTTATCATTTTGAAGTCTGTAAATTGTGTTAGTCATTAACTTAGTCACCTGTTATATTCCTGGATCTACACAAAATTATTTTAAGTGCTCATCTGTGAGGATTAATATACAAAAAAGTATCCTTTGAGATGAAGTAGTGTTCCCAAAATAAGGTTATATTATTTTCTTCTGCTGCTTGATTTTCATCTTGTGTTTTGCTTTGTTTTTGTAAGGAACCATCTCTTGGTTTGGTCACATCATTTCACAGCAGCCATTTGTTTTTAAGGTCAAGGCTCCAGACAGGTTGTTACTGGTGTTTGCAGCGTGTCAGTACTTGCAGTACTGGAATATGTTCTAGGCTAGTGTCTGTGCGTCACTGTGGTTTTAGTATGGAAGGACTTACTTGAGAAATACTACCTTGCTTTCCTCTGATTTCTTTTTGCAGAATTATAGTGTGTTTACTCCTAAGATGACAGTTCTCTTTGTCTATATTCAGCATCTAAGACAAATATTTAAACATTTTAAAGAACCACTGTGTTAAGTTTAGGATTATTTACTTACCAAATTAGAAGTTTGACTTTTATATGTTATATACAATTTTAAAATTTCACGAATTCACCTTTTTAATAGTATCCATGTACATAATAAAGTCAAAGTTTAATTAATCATTTTCTTTGAATTTTTTTCTAAATAAGGGAAAAAACTGTTCTTGGGCCACTTTACATAGATAAATATATGTGAATGTTTGTAATTAACGCTTAAATATTCCTAGTGTTAACTTCAAAAAAGTCTTTTTCAGTTCTTAAATAACATTTTTTAATTTAAGATACTTATTCAACTTATCTTAACTAAGGTAGCTAGTGAATGTTAAGTAGATGAGGTAACCGTTCAGTTAAGTTAAATTGTAGCATTGCCAGGGAGTGAGGCTCGCTGTACAATTTTCCAGATAAATGAAATTTCCTGTAGTGAGAGGTCCATGTTTTTGTAACAGCCTTTTAAAAATGCTTTTGTGAACCCTCCAGCCTCTTACCAAAAGAGGCTTTAAACCTCATCTTGATTCAGATCATCAGTCTATTCCTGGGCAATAGTATGTGATGTCCAGCACCCTAACCCCGACTCCCCAGCCCTGGGACTATTCCAGTAGAGTGAAATATTTGTCCTGTACAAAGTGGCCTGAATGACTGTTTGAGTTCGTGTGTCTAGTTTTCCTCCTTATTCCCTGTGATGCCCAGAGTAATGGCCCATCCAAAGATGTCCAGATGTTCATGTGCTAGTCTCCAGAACTTGTAACTGTGCTGTTACATGGCAAAGGGGAATGAAGGCTGCAGATGGAATTAAAATAGATTATGCTGGATTATCTGGGTGTGCCCAATTGATCACCAGATCCTTAAGAGTGGAAGAGAGGCAGATCAGGATGTCAGAGTGATGAGGTGTGAGACGGACTTGACCTGCTGTCGCTGGAAAGAAGGAGGTCATGAGCCAAGGAATGTGGACAGTCTCTTGAAGCTGGAAAGTGTGCATTGGACATCTGGAAGCCGGAAAAGACAAAGATCCAGAAAGGAACAAAGTCTTGTGGACACCCTGATTTTGGTCCAGTGAGATATATTTGACTTGTTAACCTACAAAACTTTATGATGATAAATTTGTGTTGGTTGTAAGCCACGAAATCACAATAATTTGTTATAGCAGCAGATAGAAAACCAATATACTCCTCTTAATATGAGGTTACCTACTATTGATTCCTTCTAGGATTTTAGCTTCCTGTCTGATGTGGATTTACAGCCAGATCACCCAGCTTGTTTGAATTGCTTACAGTGTGTAGTCTCATGGTAAAGGCTTTCTATGAGTGAAGTGTATATCCTTTAATGTGTGCATACTGTCACATTTTGACTATTTCGGAAGACTTTCACCTCTGTTTCTTGTCTTTGAGGCTGATGAATGTGTTTCTAAGCTATAAATTTAATATTAAGGGATTCATGTATTATTGTTATTGAACCCAAACAATGTGTTAAGTAATATTTAGGGCCAGAAAAATCTCATGCTCATACAGAATAATGATTTCTCCTAATGTAAATCTTGGAAAGGGTTTTGTTCAACTTGAGAATTATTAAAATTTTTTTCTATTTTTTTTTTCTTAAAAGATTGGCAAAGGAGAGAGTGGGTTGCTAAAAGTTTATTTATCATTGTTCTCCAAAGAATAGAAACACTTTCCGTAGCCCAACTCCAGTAGTAAATAATAATGAATGCTTTGTAATAAAAGAGCAATTGGTTAGTATTAGAATTGTTTTGATTACAAAGTTAGCATCTCTGCCAGAGCTACCCAACCCCAAAGCGGGGTTGTTAGAGGAAAGCTGCCATATTTCGCAGAACCGAGGAAGGAATGCAGCAGACCTCAGGTGGGATTGAATGCGCTGGCTCTGACCCTCAATGCGTACTGGCTCCATGGCCACCTGTAGCTCCCGAGGTTTACACGTTATTGATCCCCCCAAAGAGACCTGATCTCTTGATTTCATTTCCAGGGAAGGGTCAGCTTGGGTCAGGTGCCCACCCCTTCACCAATCAGCTTGTCTCAGGTAATACAGTCACGTTATATAATGGCTGCTCTGGTCAGTGATCATGTGGATAGATACAACTTTTTCTCAAAAAAATGGTCATGGGGTGGGGGTGGGGCAAACAAAACTATTAGTGTTTGACACAAGGTACTGCAGCTAAGATGTGAAACCTTCCATATACACCTTAAGGACTTCTTTGTCTCTGGAAAGTGATTTTTCTGGGGCTCTTTAGGTAAAGAGGTGTATGAATGGTGCCAGTGTTAGAATCATTGGCAGTCTTTTCTTGAACCTGCGACTCCAGTGGTCAAATCTCATATGTCATATGGTTATATAACCATTTTCTAGAGAATTCTGTTCCTACTATCTAATGCAGTAACTGACTTAAAAGTAAAAAGTATTACTGTTAGACTCTAACATGAGTAGCAATATTTGTTTTAATGGAGGTGGGATTAGGTATGTGTTTTTACATTAAAACATTTTTATATATGTAAATAAATATATATGCCTTGTAGAAAAATTAGCCATAATCTTACTACCAGAAGAGAACTATTATTAACCTTGTGTGTGTGTATATGTGGTAGATGGTTCCATATACCTCCTGGCTCTTTTTATGTTCCCAATTCTCTAACACTTATATTATTATGTTAAGATAACAGGTATTGTTATTATTTTACTATGTGGACCATGATCGAAACTATCAGAGTTTCTATTTCGGGTGGTGACCAAGATGAGCCCTATGGAAAGTGTGGGTGGAATTTAATGGGCTTCTAGTTGGTATGAGTTGTCCTCAGATCCAACCTATTCAACCTGCATGAAAATACTTATTTGTCCTTTACCTCTTAAGCAATGAACTTAGGGCTGGGAGCACTGGTGAAGAAACTGGGATGGCAGTAGTTTCAGCTTTGTTGCTGGTTTCATAATTTTGTTGCTGATGGAAGGCTACCAAGGGACTAGAGATGAACCAGTTTGGCCCTGCTTAGTGGCATCAGTGAAATAACTGCTTGAAAGGCCCAAATCAAGACAGTAACTTCTTTTTTTTTCCAGACTACTCAAGTGCAGTAGTCAGAAGGGGGAAAAATAGTAGAACAATAAGTTCAATCTGTAACTGTGGCTATGAACAATCAATTGAGTTAACTCAACTGTGACATTTCAAAACAAAACTTCTGAGGTTAGACAGTCACAATAAGGTGTGGCAATGAAATTTCCCCTTAGTTCAGAGTGCCTTTTTATAATAATACCACTTTTGGCATCTTGAAAGTTTTTAAATCAAAGTTAGGTTAGACACATTCTTTTTTTTTTTTTTTGAGTCAGAGTTTCACTCTTGTTGCCCAGGCTGGAGTGCAATGGCACAATCTCGGCTCACTGCAACCTCCGCCTCCCGGGTTCAAGCAATTCTCCTGCCTCAGCCTCCCGAGGAGCTGGGATTACAGGCACCCGCCACCACGCCCAGCTAATTTTGTATTTTTAGTAGAGACGGGGTTTCTCCATGTTGGTCAGGCTGGTCTTGAACTCCCGACCTCAGGTGATCCGCCCACCTCAGCCTCCCAAATGCTGGGATTACAGGCATGAGCCACTGCCCCCACCCAGGTTAGACACATTCTTTTTAATAGCTAAGCAAAAAAATCCCCTGAAGCCCCCAAAACTCTCAAAACAATACTGACCTAATTTCTACCGGAAAGAATTGTACAGTGTTGAGTGTGGGCTCTGAGTCATACTGCTTGGGTTTATCAACCATTCCTGTAATTTGACATAACTCAGATTCCTCTTTTGAAAAACAAGGATTAAGTAGTGCTTCCTTCATAGGGTCTCTGTGAATATCAACTGAGATACAGTATGTAGTCTCCTTACCACAGCATTTACACACAGTATGTGTTCCTCTGAGTAGCATGGGGCAGAGTTAGGCCCTCATTTTTAATGGTCTCATATAAGATTTCTGAACTACAGAGGACATTATCTGGGTAGGAGGAAAAAAAAATCTTTAAATTTGAAATAATAATACTCATACAATTTATTTTAATATCATTTTCCAAATTTAATTTCATTTTCACCTTTAATATTTCGTAAGGATTCAAGAATCAGATGCAGGGATTCTGTTTCTCTCCTTTTTGTTGTTGTTGTTTTACATTTAGGATTTCAATGTGGAATCTCAGATTTCTTTTGTAAACTCCTTTACTGTCAGATAATTAGCCAGAAATACCAAATAAATGAAGATGGGAAAACACTATATGTTTAATAAAAATCTTTTTTAGATGTCTGTATTCTCAAGAAATTATGATTAGGACATGTTTACATAGTTAAATGAAACCTCTGGCCTCTGCTAGAAAAATATATTTCTCTATTGAAAAAAAAAGCAGGCATAATCCCAAAATACATCATTTCAAAAGTTCTAGTGTTACCAGTGGTGAGTATGGGCAGGCTCCATAGTCCTTGATATTTGTCTTCTTGGGAGAAAGAATTCAGCCAAGAGACAGAAGTATATTTAAGGCAGAAACAAGAGTTTATTGAAGCCAAAAAAAGTACACTTGGATGGAACCAAGGGGGATGTCAAAAGATTGAGTACCCAGCCTGACCTTCGTCTTAAGGCTCTTAGAGGTTTATTATTTCCTATTTTCTCTCCCTGTCTCTTCCCCTCCCTGTATGTGCAGTGGTTTGCCAGTATCTGGGAGGGCCTTTTGGTGGTTGAAGTTATGCACGTGCTCTCTTAGGGCAATTTTCCCTTACTGGGCTAGCGTCCCCCTGCCAAGCCCCGTGGGAAGGTCATATATTCGTCAAACTCCGTCATTTTGCCCCTTACTGCACATGCCTGGACATGCCCCCAGAGGAAGGCCAAACTCTGTCATCTTAAATTCTTATTGGGAAGTTGTTGCCCATGAGCCCAAGATGTCTCCCGTTAGATTTTCCCCTCCCTGTCACCAGCCCTGACATTCTTTGTGGCCCTGTCCTGCCCTGTTCATATCTGCCTATCTACCTACTCTAAAACTAGTATCTTAAATAAAAACCCTTCTATAACTCCACATCCCCTTCCAGCTACCCCATTTCTCTGCTCTTTTCAAGTTGTCTGCATTAGCTGTTCTTTATTCCTCATCCCCAACTCCCCAGTTTCCATCCCTTCATTTGTGTAACTGTCCCCAAATGCAACTAAAGCAGCGGACCTCTTTTCAAAGCATTTGCTATTGTTGAGCCCTCTGATTTCCTGGCTCCTGTGACACTATTCTCTGGTTCCTGCATTTCTCCTGTATCTGTTTCTTTTGGCTGTTTCACTACCCCCAACTTCTAAATGTCAACACTTAGTTGGGCTTCTCTATGTGCTCCCCTGGGGTAAACTCAGCTGGTTTAATGACTTAAAATACCATTTTCCTACTGACTCCCAAACTTGAACCTAGACCTCTTTCTTGGGCTGCAGACATATATCCCATCACCAACTTGACATCTTCATCCAAATATCTTGTAAACACCTCAAAGTTAACTTTTCGAATAGAACTCTTTCATTTTCCCCACTTTCCCAAACCTGTTCCTCCCATTACACTTACTAAGTCAAATCAGAACCAAGAAGTTACAGTAAAGGGCACTTGCAGCTGCTAGGCTGGCTGTCAGACATCTATAGATTTGACCAGCAGGGAGACAATGAGTCCAAATAGATTGAGACAGTTTATTATTTACACAGAGAGCAAAACCAGCATCAGCATGGAGTCAGCTCCCTGTATGCCTGGTCCTTAGGGACGTCCCTGGATGACACTGAACCAACGGGACAAGATGACAGATGACAAGTAGAAATAGCTCTGTTGTTGAGGAGCCAACTCTGAGCTATAGCTAAACATTTTTATAGTCGGTATCTGTACCTGAATGAGAGTGAGGTCACTAGAAACCAGTTGGATGAGAAATTGCCTCATAGCAGCCTTTTGCAAGATAGGGAGGTATTTTGCAAGATAAATGGCCCTTTGACAGCTCCTTTATGATGGCCTATCTTGCCATGGAGGATCCAGAGAGGATCACGACCTTTTTCTACCAAGACCTGTGTCAGACTGTGGTTGAGTTCTGCCTACGTGGACTATGTGGAGTGAGCAAGGTAGCCACGGCACCGTGCCAGATGTGTTACCCTACAGTAGTATCTGATTCTACCCCTTTCTTTAGTCTTATATCCAACCCCCCAGAAAATCCTGATGATTCTACCTCTAAAATCTGCTCTGCCTTTTCAAAGCCATTGTAAACCCAAGGCACACTATATTCCACTGGGAATACTATACATCCACTCTTGCCTTCTTACAATCCATTCTCTACACAGCAACTAAAGCAATCTTTTGAAAATGTGTATATGACTGTACATCCTTGCTTACAAAAAATGTCAGTAGCTTTCTATTACACATCAAATAAAACTCATTCTTGGCCTACAAGGTCTTGCATCATCTAGCCCTTAACGATCACTCCAGTATCATCTCATACCACTCTTCTCCCTCACTCATGATGCTTCATTCCCAGTGGTCTTTTTATTCACAGAACATAACAAACTCTTTTTCACCTCAGGTACTCTGTACTTGCTGTACCCTTTGCTGATAACATGCTTCACAACAGGCTTTTTTACTTGACTGGTTCCTGCTTAACAATTAGGTTTTAGCCAAGTTGACAATTAAAACTTAAAACAATTAAGTTTTAGCCAAGGTATCTCCTCAGAGAGGATTCTCCTGACCTATGAGAAGTAGTCAATTGGCCCCCAGTTACTCTCTCTCCTATAATCTTGTATATTTTCTAACTGTGACCTGTGATTTTCTTACATATATGTTTACTTATTATTGTCTATCTCTCTCACCAGAATGGTAAGCAAAGAGCAGAGACTTTATATGTCTTTGTACTTCTATGTCCCTAACACCCACCAGACACAGTTCCAATATTAATACTATTCCAATATTTGCTGAATAAATTATTTCTAGTACTTTTTATAAACACAAAACGTTAACTTTTTTTAACAATCAAAACACATTTTCAAGTTTAGTTCCATCTTGCTTTCTTAATTTACTTCTTTTTGTCTTCACATCAGATTTAATAAAATAATTACAAGTCAGCAATCAGAATACCTGCATGTTTATGGAGTAAAACCAATAATAGTCAAATAACTTACTACCTTTAAGTGTAAAAATGTGTTTATTCACAACCATTTGTAAATTACCATTTGTTACCATTCCTTCAAAAAATTCTTTATGAACAAAAAGCCAAGAAAAATTACAATAGTAGCTTATGCCAAACCAAAAATATACATCTGATGTATACAAACTTTAAAAAGCATTAACACAGGCAATGTGAATATAGATTACCTTAAAAATATTTCCAAGACACAGCTACAACTTAAATTAAGACAGATATAAATAATGGCATTACCTAATGTATTATATTTACATATTTAAAGTATCATATTAATTTCTATGACATAAAAAAGGAGATAAAACTACAGATGTCATTGCTTAGCAGTTCAAATATTGAAAGGGCCACATGATTTTTTTTTAAGTACAGCAAGAACTTCAGGTTACTATTTATATCTGGACCTTCCTATATTTATAAGAACATGCACTGTCATTGTTGCAAAAGGAAAAACCAAAAAACAGTTTGCTTACTAAAATCATACCAAATCCTCAGCAAAATCAAGGAAAGCAATTATGGAGTGTTTTCTATTCCTGGCCTTTTAAATTGACACATACATTTTAGAGAAAAGAACAGTTGATTGTCTATAACAAAATGCAGTTATAGATATTGATATGCTTAGTTCTATCCCATTAAAGCACCTTGTACTACAAGGTAAATGAAAGCTTAATAAAATCAATGGAGCCTTTCATACCAGAAAGGATTTTATTTGAAATACCCGTATTACCTTTTTAGATCTTCCTTTCTTAAATCATGCAGAGAATATGTTCTGTGTAAAATCTAAGATCATTCATTGGAAATATAGAATTTTTAAAAAATAATGGCACCTAAAAACTTAATACTATATATCAATTAAAGTCAATATAGTGGCATGTAAAATGAAGTGGAAAAAACTAAATATATATATATATATATATATCTTCTTAAGTATTATTTTTTTATTATTACCAACTTGAAATGTCCAAACTCTGAAGGGTTATTTTTATATTATCTTTTGTTCAGATTGAATCAACATTATCATACTAGGACATGTAAATAAGGACATGTAATGCTGATACTTCTGCATTTCTTAGAGTCATCTACTCAAATCAACTGTACTGACTATTAGATAATAAAATCCAAAGAAGTCATAGAAATAATGCTGGAAAAGGGAACACTATTCTAAATCTGAATCTGACGATCCCTCCTCATGCTTCCTTCACATCTGCTGAGAATTAACAAAAAAAGTCTTAATGTTTTCATAGTTAAAGACAATGAATAGGCTTCATAAATCATTCAAAGTAAAATTAATTAAAAAAATGGAGAGTGGAAATCTACCATAGTAAACAGAAATGCTATAAAGAAAAGACTTAAAGTAAATTTAATTGGTAACATGACAGGACCATTAAATTGGTCTTGAAAAGCAGAAGGCAGATGATGAAATTGCACTTAATTCTGTATCAATTCAGATCCTATCATCCCTACTCCTTTCTAATAAAATAAGCATTTACAACATGGTTTCTTACACATCTCCCTTACAAAAAGGCTCAGCACAATCACTTATACATTCTAGTTGGTTTTTAACATTTGGTCATAACTGATAAACAAGGTCACACAATTTACCCTATCGAGTCTGTTGATCTGTGTCAGAATGCCTTATGCCAGAATCAGACAGTTCTAATACAGGATTTACAAATCCAGAATACTCGGAATTTCCATTATCATCCATTTCGGCACTAACAAAATCATTCTCCCACTCCAGCCCATTGGAATCATCAGAGGCTGATGTAGGATTACTTCCAGTCTTCTTGTTGCTATACTTAAGTGCTGCCCGTAGAATGTCTTCCTCTGTTTTGGAACGTTCTCTCACTGGAAGCATTCTATTCATTCCTATGATTTGAACAGAGTTTTTAGAAATCTCAGAACAGATAATAAAGCTATATTTACAAACTTCCAAGTTTAGCAATATAGTTTTTATTTAACTATCAGACTTGATGTGTGAATTAAAGACGCAGTCCCATGGAGGTCTTCTTAAGGGAAATTGTTGGGGTCTAACCCTGAAGTATGTCTCAGGTAAAAATAAATATTAACAGTCACCAAAGGGCAGTTTTGATGTATCATTTATTATCTGATAGGATGAAATTCCTGAAGAGTCATAAATAAAACAGAATGGATGGAGGACCTCAATTGCTATTAGTCTTATATGGCCAAGTTAGTATGTCTGCCACAGTCCTTTCCTACCCACATAATTTCATTTCCCAGAGAATGACAGTCACTCTAATGATAACATGTACTTTTCCAGCATTTACTAGGTTCCAGTTAATGTTATATACATGTCACAGATATTAACTGATTTAATCCCCAACAACTCTATGGAGTACAGTACTATCATTATTCTCATTCTGTAGTTCAGCTAACCGGGACAGAAAGGCTAAGTGATTTGGGTAATGTCACACAGCTAAAAAGTGGTGAAGCAAGAATTTTAATCCATTCAGTCTGGCTCCAAAGTCTGTGGTCTTATGCTCTTCCGACTCTACCAAACAGAGGAGAGACGTTTCTATGGGAAACTGTTCTAGATCTAATTCGAAACAAAATGAAATTGGTAAAGTGAAAGTGTCAATAATCTTGAAAGAAAAAAAGAATGGCATTTTACTGGCAGAAGGAAGGGAGAGAGGACAGAAAAGAAGTTTGAATCTGTAAGTACAGAATCAACGTTGGTAATTGAATTAAAATCTAGGATTCGCAAAGAGATTGTAATATTCCTAGACATATTTAATGATTTTCTTTTTTGACCTTAAAGATCAGATCCCACCATAAAAGAACATTTAAATCTGTATCACCGTTGTCTGTCACTCCTGAAAAATCACCAGGACTCAACCAAGTAACACAAGTTATTTCTATAGATATGATAAAAATATGAGCTAGATACTAATATAATTTTGTAGATTTGTATCTGGTGAATTTGTTTCTGTAGATTTATTTCTAAGAGAAGTTATATTTAACTTCTGGCTTTAGAATGTCCACAAGGGGGTAGTAATCATTCATACGGAGTAATGTCATGGGCTTGGATTACAAAACCTTAAAGAAATTAACATTTATTTTCTAAATCTAAAGGAACATTAAAAATTAAGGAATTTTCTAAACATTTTTATCAACAGTGATAATCACCAATAACAGTCTAAAAAGTGTTTATATGATTTTTCAAGGGCTTGAATTTATTTCCATTTAAATAAAGACCAAGGTAGATTTATATAAATCAACACAGATTACGTTAAATTTTTCAGGTAAAATTGTGAATTATAAAATACCTTCTTCATCTTCCCACTCTAGATCTAAGGATGTGCTGTCGTCATTTCCACTAGTTGATTTAGTTTTGGTCATTAAATCACAACTGCTTTCTGTATTTGGTGTCAAAACTGTAGCATCTGATGAGAGTCCTAGAGTATACATGAAATACAACTGAATACTCTCATCTACTCTTCTACCACAACAGCCATTTTATTTTGTAACAATTATCTCTCTCTAAATATTATTATTATTACTTTTAGCTTCATAAGAAATAATTCTGGAAATCATTTTATTGGTAAGTTTCTGTTAGGAACAGTATAAAGAAACTTTTCTCTCTTTTTTTTTTTTGCCATCTAAGCATCGCAAACATGCAAATTTAAGTGATTATGAGCTTTTCAAATATGGTGAACTCTAGATAATATTTTTAACAGTCAATTACAAAGGGGCACAAAAAAACGATGAACAAGAAAGATAAAACAAAAAGCAACCTATATTTTCAAAAAGACCCACTACTATACTATGCTTCCACTATTGGGAAGCATATGAGCTTTTGCTTTTGAAACTTGAGGAAATGTTTTAATCTTATAAGTCAATTTGTAATAAGTAAAAAGTACACTTTTCTATTACTTCCTCCCATCTTTCCTTTCTTTTTTTTTTGGAAAGGAAAGGGTTAGAATCACGGTAGAAATGGAAAAAGGAGTGCTTGACTCCCTATGTGGATCTACAGAAACAGTCTGAGATTTTTCTTTGCTCCAACTTCTTTTTAAAAAGAAAAGATGAGATTGTATAATTAATGACTACCTAGGAAACTGACCTATCTGGGAATTACAAATTTAAGAACAGAAAGTTATTCTACAGAAACACAGCCAGAATCTCTACTTACCTGTTTACTGTGGCATAAAAAAAAGTACAGAAAATACTTTAAAAAACTTACTACTACTTCGAAAAACTTCATACTGTGACTTTATATTTCTCAAACAAGATTCAAAGTCATCTTCTAGTCCTGAACTGTAATAAAAGTGAAATAATTTTTTAATATATTCATGGTAGATGCAATATAACAAATATTTAAGCTAATGATGGCATTTTGGCTTGAAGACCTATGTCATACAAATTCATAACTGCTACACAATTAGAATAACCTAATGAAAAGAGTTCTTAATTTTCTTAATACTAGCATGAAACTGAAAATAAGATGATTTTGGTTAATCCTGAAATCCAATCTCCAAAGCTTAGCCATAAGTCTAACTTTACAATAATGAAGCATGAACAAAATTCTTTGAACGAGTAGTGATACTTGTGGAAATGTGACGCTGAAATCTCTCTTCCAAAAAATGACCACACATAAACTTTATTGTAAGAAAGAGAGGGACTAAAGAAGACACAAACAACTAAGGTATAAATAACTCACCCAAAGACATTCAGCTATGGTATTACATCTATATGGGAAATGAGACCACTCTTAAAAATGCAATAAAGTCAGTTTAAATGAATAATAATCATGTTTCAACTTAAATGCTCTCAGTATTCTTCCAAGGCAATGTCTTTTTTTTTTTTTTTTGAGGCGGAGTCTCGCTCTGCCGCCCTGGTTGGAGTGCAGTGGCCGGATCTCAGCTCACTGCAAGCTCCGCCTCCCGCGTTCACGCCATTCTCCGGCCTCAGCCTCCCGAGTAGCTGGGACTACAGGCGCCCGCCACCTCGCCCGGCTAGTTTTTTGTATTTTTTTTAATTTTTTTAGTAGAGACGGGGTTTCACCGTGTTAGCCAGGATGGTCTCGATCTCCTGACCTCGTGATCCGCCCGTCTCGGCCTCCCAAAGTGCTGGGATTACAGGCTTGAGCCACCGCGCCCGGCCGGCAATGTCTTTTAGATGGAATAATTTTTAGGGAACACATAAACATGAATACGTATATACACATCTCGAGGTGAACAATGCTCTACGTAGCAATAAAATGTTCTACCACAAAGGGAAGGAGGCATATGTTTCATTATTTACCTTTGATATTCTCCATTGTTGGAAGGATGATATTGCTGCACAATTCTCTGCCTTTCTTGCTTTGGAAACATAATGTAATAAAAAAAATCACTCTGTTGTAAAATTATGTATTTTAAAACCACTCATGCAATACCAAAAAGTATTTTTTTCTAGTTTCTAAAAAAAAAAAAAAAGTTATTCTGTTGACATATTTTTCCTTATTTTACCAGATATGTATTGATATTCTTAACATTCTTAGTATACCCAAGAACTTTCAACCTACTGGAAAAATGAGGAGCAGAAAAGGAATAGTTAAAACAATACATGAAGTTCTATTCTGGGTGAAATAAGTAGCAATAAAACAACAGATTTATAAGATCTGGCTGAGTTGACTCAGAAATAATAAAAGCAATTGACTAAGATTTAGAAGAAATGTCAGAGTTGTCGCTCTGATAGCTATTAGCTATGTATCCCTGGCATGGCCTTTACCTACTGTTCCTTCATCTATAAAATACAGATAGCTCTATTACTGCTCTAGCAAGCTCAGGGTTACCATGAAAATCAAATGATTGGTGGGTGTCTGTGTATGTCTGTGTGTCAGTATATACTGTATAGACTGTAATGTGTTCCTATATCAAATATTTAAACCAGGGTAGGAAAAACTCAGAGAACCCTGGAAATCACCCATATGGATGCTGTATATGGAATGCTTTGTCTTTAAAAGGGAAGCAGTAGATCATCTATTACAGTAAAAAGAGTGTCTATATGATAACCAGAAAAATACTTTTCTTAGTAGAAGGTAAAAGTTAAAAACTTGTTCATTATTTAGAACTGACTTAAAAAGCAAAGATATTCCTTCATATAATCTGCTAAAACAGAAGAGAGAGAAAAAAAAAATGAAGGGAAGGAGAGGGGAAGGACACAGTTCACACAGAAATCATGTAACAATAGGATACACATGATATTTCAGTTTCTCTAAGTTTTACAATGTGCCATGATCTTTATACTACTTCAATGAACACTACAGAGGTGAATCCAAACAGGCAAAATATGGAGGAAGATATTAAGGATACCGGCTAAGCACTGTTGTGCTTGAACTTTGGCTCTGGCCCTTATTAACTGTAGGATCTCAAGCAAGTTACAAAACATTATCCTACTCTCAGTTTTCTCATTTGTAAAACAGGGATTAAAAATACTATCTCGTAAGACTGTTGTGAGGATTAAATAAGGTAAAACATTGCTCCTCCTGACAGTTAGGGTTCCATAAATGTTACTTATAGTTGCCAGACATTATGGTAATGCAGCATGGTAAGATACGGTAAATCTGCTGCCTTCCCTGATAATATACCAAATATTTCTCAAGACCCAAACTCCCAATCTCCCAAGGACACAAGAATAAAGATGAGAAGCAAATAATAACCTTATGGGGCAAAACAGCACAGTTTATCCAGTTCCAGGGAATAAAATAAATTCTGGTAATTTAAGAAACTGTTAAAAAAAAAAAAACCCTCACAAAACAAAATGCTTTGCCAATTATATTTAAAGGCTAGTTTGGCAACACTTTCCCTCTAAGAGTATATTTAATTTTTCCAAAAGAATACTGAGTTTTATAGCACTAAAATTCATCTTTAGGATAAACAGGAATCAGCATTTGCTAATCTAAAGCTAAACAGCACTGAGTATCAAGCATGTAATCTGATATTATTTCTAGCTGTTAAAGACTGACTAATTTGCCTTGAAAATTCTTAAGAATACATGAGTAAATACATTCATTTTTAAACAAGAAGTCCTTGAGCATAGGAAAAAAAAAGTCCCAACTAAGATTTGTTAGAGCAAATAAGGAGAAAAGCAACCCTAATATATGCTGGGGTCTTTTCCCCTCACCTCCAAGAGCTTTCGCTGCTTTGCTGCCCTGGCTGCTTCACGCTGTGCAGCGTATAAAGCTTCTTCTTCTAGTCTTAACTTCTCTTCTTGTAAGGCTAACTGTACATGAACAAAACAATAAGGATTAACAAAAATCAGAACCTGTCTAACTGCTCTAAAAATAAAATGCTTCTATTTATAAAACAAAAAATAAATTATTAAAAAATAATTGATCTCTACAAAGCATAACAGAATTGAAATGTTTGCAACTGTTTGTTTAAATTTCTTCTTTTACAAAATAACCCAAAGGATATAAAACACATTACAGGATTCTTTAGAAATTGAGTCATGAAGCAGTAGCATCTACTCTGCATAAAGTATTTCTTTAGAATATGCAGTGATCTTCATTTTAAACAATCATTCCAACACCTATCACCCTCACTAGTTTGACAGTTTTGGCCCTCATAAATCCAGTACCTTTAAGATCAATTACATCACTGTTGACCAAAGTGAACTCAGCTTTCACAAAATTCATGTCTTGTCATCTAATTAACATCAATGCACATGTCTCCTTAATTTTATTACCATCAAACTATTAAAAAATTACTTTCAAATGTAAGTTCTTGCCATTCATAAGAGCACACAAACTGCTTTAGTAGTATCTATTGCATGTTAAAGTTAACTTGAAAATCAAATTTCAACACAAATTTTTTTCTTTAGACTATTAACAGCTACTGTACAGCTTACGTTAATGCTTTGGAAATCACTAATTGGTCCTAAACATACTTTTCTTTTTGAGACGGTGTTATTCTGTCACCCAGGCTGGAGTACCATGGCACCAACACTGCAGCCTTGACCTCCTGGGCTCAAGCCATTCTCCCACCTCAGCCTCCAGAGTAGCTGGGACTACAGGTGTGCACCACCACCCCAGGTGAATTTTTGTATTTCTTGCAGAGATGAGGCCTTGCCAAGTTGCTCAGGCTGGTTTTTAACTCCTAGACTCAAGTAATCTGCCCATCTTGGCCTCCAAAGTGCTGGGACTACAGGCGTGAGCCACCATACCCACTTTAAACAGACAAATACATGTATATATGTGTATGTATGTGTGTGTGTATTAATTTTTCTTCTGAGACAGGGTCTTGCTGTGTCACCCAGGCTGGAGTGTAGTGGCTCCCCTTCGACCTCCCATAGCCTTGAGGATCCTGGGCTCAAGCAATCTTCCCACTTCAGCCTCCTTAGTAGCTGGGATTACAGGTGCATGCTACCATGCCCGGCTAATTTTTGTACTTTTTTTTAGAGATGGATTTTCACCGTGCTGCCCAGGCTGGTCTCAAATTCCCGGCCCTAAGTGATCTGTCCACCTCAGTCTCCCAAAGTGCTGGAACTATGGCCACCATGCCCGGTCTTAAACAGAAAATTTTTAAATGTGCAGTGGAATGTGAATAATTCCATTTAGTTTAGTGGGTACAAAACAATAATTATAGGCCATTTCCATAAACACATTAAATAACTTTAACACTTATGATTATCAGTACTTAGTTCTCTGAGAATACATACCCACCAAGACAAAAAACTCTTCAAAAAACCACTTATTGTGAAACAGGGTAATTTTTTTAAAATTTGCTTTTTCTTGTTGTTTCCTTTTTGAGACAGGGTCTCACTCTGTTGCCCAGGCTGGAGTGCAATGGCATGATCTTGGCTCACTGCAGCCTTGACCTCTCTGGCTCAAGCAATCCTCCCACCTCAGCCTCCCAAGTAGCTGGGACCACAGGCGTGCACCCCCATACCAGGCTAATATTGTATTTTTTGTAGAGATGGGGCTTCGCCATGTTGCTCAGGTTGGTCTCCACTTCTTGGGCTCAAGCAATGCACCTGCCTCGGCCACTAAACGTGCTGGGATTACAGGTCTGAGCCTGCTCTAAAAGTTGGTTTTAAATACCAAGGTGCATATTCTTGCCAGAGTTCCTACTTTGTGAATTAAGAAGTTGTTTTTAAAAGAATGTACTATCTCCATTTTTTGGCAGCATATGATTTCTGATAAATTAAGCCAAACTCAAAAGAAATTATAATAGGCTGGAATGATTTTTTAACTTTTAAATCATATTCATCTGTATATATCTAAATATAGGTTCAATGACTCTACACAACATATTATCTAATGACAACTCTCTCCTTTATGATAACATGTACTTAAGCAATTTAAAAGACTATTTACCTCTTTTTGAATTTTCTTATCAAGATCTTTTTGTTTTTCGGCAATGGAATCATAATGCCTTTCTCTTAGGTCAACAATTTCTTCCTCAGTAAGAGGCCTAGAGAAAAAAAGGAGGAGGAGAAAAAGAAAAACCAAAAACTTCTGATGAGTCTGAGTCCAAACAAAACACTCAAAAAGCCAGTGAAATTCTCAAATTTTGCTGTTAAAAATGTTAAAGCAATTTGCTACAACTTCAATTGTTAAGAGTAAAAAGTATACATTCTAACATTTGCTATTATTCTAGTATATAAATTGGTAAGTTGATACAATATCAGAATAGTTTTTAAAGCATTACAGCCACCTTTTAAGAAATACGGATTTTATTTACCTTCATCTGGCTCTGCTTCAGCCATCTGACCTATGGGTATATACCCTAAACCCTATCCCAAAATGCTCATCATAAAATATAAACGTTGGTATACTATTACACCCTGATCTCAGCCCTCATACCATTCTGGAACTCTTCTTAATCCTCCTAAATCACTCTGGCTTCCCCAGGCCCTTCATCCTTCCCTTTTCTTCCAGTCTGTCTATCCCAATCATCTTCTGGCCTTGCTTTACTTACAACCAAGATGGACACCAAGGCAGATCTGAACTACTTTCTTACCAACATACTCACCTTCTTGCACTCCTATCATTATTCCATATTCACTCAGTTTACTCACATTCTGACCCTGGGTCATTTCCATGATCAGCCCTTTCTGTTTCAGGCTGCTAGAGAAAACTGACGTCAATTTGGCACTCGGCCCTCAGCAGTAGTCCTTTTACATACATGTGGCAACTCCTTCACATATCCTATACTACCAAATTAAAAATCTTCACATACTCAAGTTCCTTATTCATACTTTTTTTCTCCTAAAAGGCAATTTCACTCCACTTTAAGAAATGAGGAGTATCAACCATGAATCACCCCAACTTTGTGACAACCCCCACTTACTTACATATATCCTTCCTATTCTCCTCACCATCCTCTAAAGAGGAATGTTCTTAACTTGTTCAGAATCACCTACTACATTTACATTCTTGATTCATTCACCATTGAGCCCATCTCTCCTGACCCACTCCAGAGAATTATCTGGGACCTTGTTCTATCAATTAGTACCTCTCTTTCACCTTTAACCTATTCCTTTTGTCTGTTTGCACCTCTCTTCCATGGGAAGGAAGGAAAGGAGGAAATGAGGGAGGGAGGGGGGAGAGAGGGAGGAACTAAGAAAAAAACCTCCATTTGACCTGTATCTATCTCAAGCTACTGCTCCCTCTTTCTTTAAGCCAAGTCCTGAAATTAAATGTATATCAATAGTCAGCACATCTAGCACTTACTATGTGCCTGGCTCTCTTCTAAATGTTTCACATATATTAACAAATTGTAATCTTCACAACAACCCTCCAAGGTAGCTATAAGGATTATACATATGAGGGAAGTGAGAGGAAGACAGATGAAGAGTATGGCTAAGTAAGTCCTATAGTATGTGGCAAAGCTAGAATCTGAACCCCAGGTAGTGTAGCTCTTGTTCTTAACTACAACTACTGTTCTTCTCTTGCCTTCATGTCCTTACCTCCCATTCACTTGTCAACTCGCTGCAGTCTACCTCTGCTCCCATCACTCCAATAACTCTAGCAAAGGTAATCAATGGATTCTATGTTGCCAAATACAGTAGACAATTTTAAGTCCTTATCTTACTACCTCAGTTTCATGGGACAGTGTTAACCATTCCCATCTGTCTGTCTCCCCTCCCTTGGCTTCCCAAGCTCTCCTGATTCTTCTTTTTGCCTACTACTTCTTGGTCATCTTCAGAATCCTCTTCTAGTGTCCGCCTAGTCAATCCTCAGATCACTGCTCTCTCACCATGCTCCACCTCTCCCCAGACCCCCACCTCAGTTAGGTGACCTTGGTAACTATCATGGTTAACTAGCCATTTATAGGTATTATCTCCTACTTCCATCCCTCCAGCTCTAACTTCTGCTAGCCCTAGTTATATATTAGGGCTTTAAAATTTTTTCTTTGAAATATAACTGAAATAAAATGAAATACAGATTTTAAGTGTTCAGTTCATAAAGTTTTAATACTTGTATACACTCATGTAACTTCCACTGGAAGCAAGATATGTGACATTTCCATCACTTCACATACTTTTCTTGTGCCCCTTTACAATCAGTTCTCTCACTTTGCTTATGCAATTTCTTCTGTCTGGAATGTCCTCCTGCTCTGCCTGGATACTTAGCACTAACCAACCCTTCAACAATCAACACCAGGTGTTATCCCCTTAAAAATGTCTTCTTGGATTTATCTCTCCAGTCAAGAAGCTGTTTTGGACCAACAGCCTCTTCTCTACGGTTCCCTAGAATGTTCTATAATCACTATTTAATTGCTTTCCCTACCGCACATTGAAATTAGTCATCTCGAGAATCTATCTCCCAGACCAGGATGTTCTTTCTTCTAATGGAGAGACTATGTCTGATTTTTAAAATCCCAGTGTCTAGCACGGTGCTTGGCACATGACAGTTGCTTAATAAATGTTTGCTAAACTAAAAAAAGTAAGGATTATATGTTCATAATGTAACACTGTATATGAAAATATTCTCTTGAAATTAAGAACGCTCTTTTGACTTAAAGATACTTAAGTAATACATGCAATTTTAATAAAATATTTAAAAGCTGCTTAAATAATTATAGTACAAGGTTTTAGTTACTATTAAAAGATGTGAAAAAATTTAGAAGAACAAGTTTTAGAATGCATAAAGAAGGAAAGGGGTAATAAAGTTAAAAAATTTAAAAGAAATGTACTTATCAATACTAATGGTTTTAAGAAAACTAAAAAACATATAACAGGTACAACAGGAAAGCATCTAGGCACTTACATTAAATTCTTTAATATTCAAAACAGTCCTTTTGAGATATATTTGTCTCAATCTTATAGAAAGAAAAAACTAAAAGTTCTGAAATGTAAACTGTTTAACGTTTCAAAGCAAGCAAATGATAAAGCATGACTTCTTCAGAGAGTTTTCTTACAGTTCGCATAGAAGTTTTTTTTTTTTTTTTTTTAACAAAGCCTTACCTATGACTGCTTCCTGGGCTCTCCCCCTGTACAAAAATTAATTAAACAATTAAAATAAATTAGCTAAATTCTATTTAAAGTAATCAATACAATTTTTATTCAGTCTAAATACTTTCAACTTACCCATTTTCATCAGAGTAAATACATTTCACTATTAAATATATTTCACTATTAAAAATACTTGAAACAAAAAGTTTTAAAAGTTTGCTACTTCTCCATAGCAAAATGTAGTTTACTATCTAGCTTAATTACATAAAATCATTTGCTGGACATTTCTTAATTTTTTTAAACAAATATTTGTTACATACCAAATGAACTGGAGTCAGGATAGTATTAGACAACATATTCTCTATGTTCTCATTTATATTAACAGTTGATCCTCATTTTTTTGCAGTTTCTGTATTTGCAAATTTGCCTACTTGGAAAATTTACTTGTAACCACAAAATCAATACTCTTTGAGCTTTCTAGGTTATTCAAGGACAGGCATGGAGCAGTAAAAATTTTGAGTTGCTCAGCAATGCACATTCCCAGATGAAGTAGAACAGGGCAACAGACACTCTGCTTTCTTGTTTCAGCTCTCATGCTATAAACAAGTATCTTTTTTACAGTCTATTTAGTGCCACATTGTTTGCATTTTTGTGCTTTTTGGCTGGTGATTTCTGTTTAAAATGGCCTCCAAGTGTAGAATACTAAGTACTCCAGTGTTCCTAAAGGCCAAGAAAGCTATGATGTGCATTATGGGGAAAATATGTGCGTTAGGTAAGCTTCATACAAGCATGAATTTGTGCTACTGGCTGCGAGTTTAAAGTTAATGAATCAATAATATATGTTTAACACGGTATCTTACACAGAAACATACATCGAATGAGGCTATATACTGATTGGTTGATGAACACATTGTGATCAGAGGCTTGCAGGAACCTAACCCTGTATTTCCCCTGCAGTAATGCTTCAGCATTCACTAATTTAGCATTTACAGCAACTTAATCAAACATAATTACAATAATGACAATCAACTTTTTGTTTTCTTTCACAAGGTTATGAAATTATCTTTAGTTTTTTCCTCCAAAGCAAAGTATAACTATTTTCAGGATTTTTTCAGGTTTATGCCTACTTCTTACACATTTAAACTATTCATATCTGAAAGTTAAAATATAATAGCAGGAATAAAAATCCAAACGGTCCACATTAGTTTAGAAAGTAGCACTACAAAACAGGATGACATTCAACTAAACCAAACACAAAATATGAAGTAAATGAGAGAGGAGAAGAGGGGTTAGCAAAAACAAAAGTAACCAAAAAAATCCTCAGCCAACCAAACAAAAAGCATCTTGGGAAAATACACGGAATCACTAGTTCTCTTGAAAAGTGTTAAGATGCTGGGATGAATTCTAATGGAGGCTGAAAGAACGCTTACTTTTAACACTTGTCAGATGCTTTAAAAATATCATGTCCAGTGTTTGCTTAAACTTTTAAAGAGAAGGACATGAAAACAAAAGCGACCTTTGCAAAGGAAAAGAAGTTAGTTCTATGAAATGGAATGATATTTTACTGGGAGAACAAACGGCTAAAATAGTTTCCAAAATGTGTCCTATCAGATGAAAAATATGTATTATTATTTTAAAAAAGGATTTTTACCCACATTAATTTGAGAATAGCTGAGTTGAACAAGTTTAAGTAATTCAGTTTAACAATAGTTTATCTCAGAACCTTTTACATGCTAACTTACATTCTAAGGCTAGTATTCTATACATACTCGAGAAAGGCTGGACTAAATAATACATTTTTACAGGAAAAGATTAACACATTTTCTTCTTTCCCTAGAAAACAAAAATGACAAAGTGTCAACTTGCAGTGTTCTTCTAGACTAACCAATTTTCAAGATGTAGAAAGTAGACCCAGGGAGGTTAAGTAATTTGCAGAAACGTACACAATTAATTTAGTGAAGTTGCAAATTAGCATACAAACTAAAGTTCTAACTATACCAATGCATAAGAAATGCTTCTTAGCCTTTTGACTAAGATCAAATGTTGAAATATACACCACATTTTGCTGATTATAAAATGCACTCCCTTCATATTTTTAACACTTCTGTATTTGAGAAGCATCTTAAAACTTGTTGAGTTTTATGAGATGAAATGTAGAAAATTAACATAAAGAATAACTGATAAAAGAGATGATGGCTAAAGTCAGAAACTGTAGAATAAATATATATAAAATCTGACATCAGAATCTATGAAAACTATAAAGAATGGGCCTACTCCAAAGCTGGGTGAAGTGGTACACACCGATGGTCCCAGCTACTCAGCTGAAGCAGGAGGACTGCTCAAGCCCAGGAGTTTTAGTCCAGTCTGGGCAACATACCGAGATCTTGTCTCTTAAAAAGAAAACAACAGCAACAACAAGAAAACAATGGGTCTACTCTGGATTGTGAAGTATTTTACCTACCTAATCAAGAGGTTAGAAATATTAGAAGTAAACTTTCTGAAGTTCCTCGGGTTTCTGTATAATGCTTTAAACCTATGTGTGTGTATAGTGTATCTTAGTATTTGGAATTATTTTCTAATATAAATTAGTAAAACAAGGAAATAATAAAGAACTAAAAAGTAAAAATAAAAACTAGAAAATAAAAATTCTAAAACAAAAATAAAAATTGTAAACATAATTGTTAGAACTAATGAGATGATCAATGAGAAAAATACAAGTTTTGTACTATTATGGAAATACTTACTTCATCACTTTCTACTAGATTCTCAAACTGAAAGGACAAAAAAGTAAGTGTTAGGAGGAATATTTGTCTTAGGTATACATCTCACAAGAAATTATGTTACTTTTTTCATTTAAAAATAATATATCTTTATATTTGTAAGATATTTAATTCAAATGCCTCTTTAATACATCATTTCATTTGATATATTCAACAGTCCTACAAAATGGCCAAGGCAAGCATATACTATTTTAATTTATGACTTTCTATGAATGAAAATCAAACAGGAGAATTAAGCAATTTTCTACATAAATCAGAACTAAAAGTTTCATCTGAAATGAGTATTTCATACAAGCATTTTCAGTCCATGCTACCAGAATATTCCACTTCACTTGACTTCAGAACAAATGTCATAAGAAGGAAAATTATTTAAGGAATGGGGACTAAAAGATACCCAAATAAGAATTTCCCAACATGTTTATATTTATTCATTTATTCATTCATATAGTTATTTACTGAAAATCTACTAAATGGTAGTTACTATCCCCAAATACAATGTCTTTCTAGAGATAGAAATGTAAACAGTTTGATCATAATGTGATTAATACTATTATGTCAGTGACCTAATGAAAGTCATTACTATTATATCACTAAAATGTCTACATTTTAAATATAAATAACTTGATAAGTAACCACCTGAAAGAAAAGGTGTTTTATTGTTAATACTGTTTGGTTTAAAGATTGAGAGGAAACAATGAATTCAAAAGGTTTAGAAAATTAAGGAATCTCTCTAAAAAGAGAATAAAACTGTTAAAGTTATTATCCTTATCTTATTTTTATATTGGTTTGTGATTTTTAAATATCTTATTCCTGCCTTACACGTTTCCTTATTAATACAGAAGGTCATGAAGTACAGTGTTCAAGCTTTGGAGCCAGGCAGTGTGGACTAGAATTTAGGTTTTGCCACTTACAGGTTGTGTAATATGGCCCAATTTCTCCACCTGTCTAAGCCTCTCATTTTTCATCCATGAAACAGGGTGACCACCACCTGTTTACAACAGAGTTGTGATGACATTCTTAATTTGTATGGTGGAGTGGCTAGTTTATACAATAGGTAAGGAATAAATGGTAGTTTCCATTATCATATTTTACATTCAAAGAAAAAGTGACTCGGTGATTCTGCTGTGGAGTTACTGAAACTCAACTTCCTGCTTTGTTTCTGGACTTTCCCTGCTGGGGCAGGCCAACCATCTCTCATTATACCCACTGCCCTAATGAGCCACTATTACTGACAGAAGAGTACCTTCTCCCTGACTTACGTAGGGTGGGGGGAAAAGCTATTAGAAAAACAGAACCATAATCCTCTGCAAACTTCTTCCTATTCATTCCTTCCCCACTGCTCCAACTCTTTCAATCTTCACTAACATGAATACTATTGAAATATAAACAGTTCATGCTAAATTTGGGTCCAGATCTTTCCCTCTTTACAACCAAAAGCCCCTTCTGCCTTTCTGCAGGCACTTTTAATCCAATCAAATTAACGACTACTTACCTCTATTGTTAAGTGCTCACCTCTTGAGCATGTTCTAAAATACTTGGATCTGGGAAGGAAAACAGAATAACTTTTAAAAACACAATTAACTCTATGACTGAATTAATATAGTAGCATAAAAGCATTTATTTCCTCAAGAGCAACTTTCAAATCTCTAACATATAGTTATATTTATAAAAAAAGAACAACAAAATTTATCTAAGAATATAAAAAGTCCAGATTTTTAAACTTCATTATAGCTTTGTTTAGTCAACTAATATTTCTTTCTATTGGTACTAATATTTACTGTAATAATTAACTTACTGTATTTACTACATTGAGTAGAATACATTTGAACATGTATCTCATTATTTTTACTACATCAAGTACCTTGTCAAAAATACTGATGTGTTAAATAATATATAAAAATATGTTCTCAGTTTTGTTAAAAATACACAAAACATTAACTATCTAAAACATTAACTAAAAGGATATATGTCAATATGCTAAAAGTAGTTATCTTTGGTGGTGGAATCATGTATCTTTATTCAAGACTTTGTTATCTTCCCATGCCCTCACAAATACAAGAGAGAAACAATGCATATACATGTCAATCAAATAATCCATTACATTATTTTTTTCCAACTAGGGCCAAATATTGACTTTAATCATTCTTTTCTGCCCCTATTAAACTTATATGTAGTCAAATAGGAATCTTCTTTATTGTATGTTCTCCAAACATACGTCTACATTCTAAATACTACAGCATCCAAGCTGGCATCCCAGGACAGGGCCACTCACAGTCCTTTGTAAGTGGAAGTGCCCAGAGATTGAGACTTTCAGTCAATGTGGCTCCTGTTACAGCTGCCAAAACTGATGGAGAACTCCATCCCCGTACAATGGGGATCCAAATGTACTAAGTGTTCCTAAAGCATCAGGATTCATGGACAGAAAGCACACTTTTAAGAAACAGGAAGAATCCTGGGGTTAGGACAGGTCAGAATTCGTTTGCTTTTCTTTCTTTTTTGGAGACAGGATCTTACTCTGTCGCCCAGGCTGGAGTGCAGTGGCGCAATCCTAAGTCATCACAGCTTTGCACTCCTTGGCTCAAGTGATCCTCCTGCCTCAGCCTCCCCAGTAGCTAGTAAAACAGGCATGCACCACCATGCTTGGCTTCACTTATTTTTGTAGAGACGAAGTCTCAATATGTTACCCAGTCTGGTCTCAAACTCTTGGGCTCAAGTAATTCTGGGACTCCCAAAGTGCAGAATTCTTTGTATTATGTGTATGTGTGTGGATGAAGGTTTAGTGAAAGAGAATGTCATATCATGACTGAAGGAAAAAAGTAGCAATGAAACTTTAGGAACTATTGTTCCTGCTATAATCTTTATCTGCTGATAGATGCAAATCTGTCTCATTGCCCACTAAGATCATTGGTAAAAAGCAAAGAATATGGTATTACAAATCCACAGATGTCATGGAGTATATCCAACATAAATGCAGTACCCTTAATCCTCTATCTAGTGCCTCCACTCTTAATCTCTTCTTTATTTCTCAAACAAATACAGAAATGAGTTGAACCTTCAGTAGTAGCACTGGGTTCTGGCATTAGGATTCCTGCTTACAGTGCTATATGCTTCTCTCCCTGCAACCATCACTATCTTCCGTGAATGAAGAATCTGTCTCTGATTAATCTGTTTCCTCCTCCAGGTTTACTGAGTGGTACCGCTGAACAATTAGAAATAAAGCTCAGTAATACTATCAATTAAAATAAAGCTTTATCAAAATAAAGCTCAGTAATACTATCAGTATGACTTCACTGCTGTGGCAAAGCCCAAAGCTAAGTAGAATACTGTCGAAACCAAGGTAACTGTTATACTACATTTATATTAGATGGCAGAACACCATGTTCTAGTCTAATTATACATAGATAATACAAACTAACTTTAGTAGTAGGCAAAAGTGTTATCTGTTGTAAATGTCTCCCTTTTCTATCCCCTCTATCAACAGCCAGCTATAGTGAGGACACTCATGTTCTCATATGACTCTGAATTCCTGAGTATCTGACTAAGCTAGAATCAGTCAATCCCTCACACCTCATTTGACTGGTTCAGGGTTACACAGAAACTGAGCAGGGAGAGACAATATCCTTCTGAGAGCTCTAGAGAGTTGCTGGGGATTATGCTTTCTGACAACATGCAATAAGAGGAATGAACTAAACTGAAAGAGTGCTCTGACAGCATCAAAATCATCCCTAAGAACCAGATGCATCCCACCCTGCTCATGGTTTTTGGTTATTAGTTGAGAAACCTAACATCCCTATTATAAATGCTACTCTTTGCCTAAGATAGTTTTAACTAGGCTTCCGTCCCCACAAAATCCTGATTAATAAACATGAATATAAGTGATATGACAAGGGAGCAAATTAAGAATAGCAATAAATAAAATGAGAAAAGCAAAATATATTTGGGAAAAAATTCAAACTTTCCTTTTAAAATGGATCAGATTGAGACTTTGCTCACAAAATGCGTATCTTGACTCCTACCACAATAAAAGCTAAGATTATACTGATAAAGTAAGTATTCAATTTGGCAAACTCTGGGGTAACATTTTTATCAGGGGAGCTTTATCCTGTAACTTATCTGAAAATACCAAGAAACATAATATGTGTATATTTCATGAATTAAGAGTTACTTATTCAAGGATGCTTGAATTATGTTTATTTGTTCAAACATTATTGATGACTGAATAGGACCCTCAGACATGTGATGCATTAAATTCAGTCACTGACATTTTGCCAACTTCCAGTCATATAAAACCATAACTTTTCACATACTTTTCTATATTCTATGTAATATATACTTTAAAAATAATTAGAAAATCAACTTTCTAATGGTCTGAAGGGACCATTTCAGATTTCAGAGAGCTATTAAGAAATGAAAAATGAAAACTCAAATCTTTCCTATTATTGGATGCTTAAAAGCCTAGCAAATTTGGAATATGCCTTTTACAATGTTTCCTATAATAAACTATCCTGACATTTTCTGTTCTTTCCTTCAGCTTTGTTCTCGATGAGGCTCTTGGCAATCAATCCTTCACTACTTGCTCCTAGGTAAGGATGAGAATATAAGTGAAGGGTAAGCGGAAGAACTGGGGAAATGAATGGAAGTACTCAACTATTAAACCTTAAGTCAAGTTTTATATTTTTATTTCACAAATATTTATCAAGTGCTTCTCAAGTGCCTGGCACTGTTCCAGGTGCTGGCAATACAACTGTCAATAAACGGATAAAGGCCCTGCCACCTTGGAGCTAACAATTTGGGAATTAATGACAATAAACACATAGATAAATGCATCAGATGATAGTAATTGCCATGAAAGAAAAGTACCTCATGCTGTTTTCCATAAAGTTTGTACTAATTCACATCCCCACCAACAGTGGCTAAGTGTTCGCTTTTCCCCACATCCTCGCCAACATCTATTGCTTTCTAACTTTTCAATAATGGCCATTCTGACTGGCGCAAGATGGTATCTCACTATGCAATATATACAGGTAAAAAATCTGCAGTTGTACCCCATAAATCTATAAAAATTATATGTATCTTTTTTGAGACAGAGTCTCACTCTTACCCAGGCTGGAGTACAGTGGCTGGATCTCGGCTCACTGTAACCTCCACCTCCCGGGTTCAAGCAATTCTCCTGCCTAAGCCTCCCAAATAGCCGGGATTATAGGCATAAGATGGTATCTCACTATGCAATATATATAGGTAAGAAATCTGCAGTTGTACCCCCTAAATCTATAAAAATTATATATATATATATATATATTTCCTTTTCGAGACAGAGTCTCACTCTTACCCAGGCTGGAGTGCAGTGGCTGGATCTTGGCTCACTGCAACCTCCACCTCCGGGGTTCAAGCGATTCTCCTGCCTCAGCCTCCCAAGTAGCTGGGATTATAGGCGCCCACCACCACACCCGGCTAATTTTTGTAATTTTAGTACAGACAGAGTTTCACTTTGGCCAGGCTGATCTCAAACTCCTGACCTCAGGTGATCCACCCCCCTCGGCCTCCCAAAGTGTTGGGATTACAGGCGTGAGCCACTGCACCAAGCCTATACTTTTTTTTTTTTTTTAATTTTAAGAAAAGTACCTTAGAGTAAGTGAGGATAGTGATTGGAGGAGGGAGGTTATTTTATTTGATTTTATTTTTTGAGATGGAGTTTCGTTCTTGTTGCCCAGGCTGGAATGCAATGGCATGATCTTGACTCACCACAACCTCCGCCCGCCGGGTTCAAGCGATTCTCCTGCATCAGCCTCTGGAGTAGCTAGGATTATAGGCATACACCACCACGCCCAGCTAATTTTTTGTATTTTTAGTAGAGACAGGGTTTTTCCATGTTGGTCAGGCTGGTCTCGAACTCCCGACCTCAGGTGATCTGCCCGCCTCAGCCTCCCAAAGTGCTGGGATTACAGGCGTGAGCCACTGCGCCCGACCAGGAGGTTATTTTATGTAGGGTGGTCAAGGCAGACCTCTCGGTTAAAGCAAAAGTAGAACAAAGGTCCCAAGGAAATGAGGAAGCCAGCTAGATGGATATTTGGAGGAAAAGAATTCTAAACAGAGGAAAAGCAAATGCAAACGCTCTGAGGCAAAACTCTACTTGGCACAATCTAAGAAAGTGAGAGGGTCAGAATGGCTGGAATGAAGAAGGAAGGGAGACAAGGTCTGAGAGATAGCCAGGGTCAGATCACAGGCCTTTATAGACCATGGGAGGAGTTTTAGATTTTAATATTAATTAGGTAAGAACTCACAGAAGAGATTTTTGGTTTTAGCATTCACTCTGTTTTTTAAAACTTTTATCATGAACCTTTTCAAATATGCACAAAAGCAGAGAGAAGAGATTCATAAGCCCCCCTGCACCCATTAACCCACTTAAAAAGTTACTACTTCCTGATCATGTTTCATTTATACTATACTCCTTTTTGTTTTATTTTTTTGTTGGTATTTTACAGCAAATCTCGGACATGTTATATTACTCTTACCTCAACTGGCATCTCTAATTAAGTATTAA